CCCACGGGGCTGACCCGGGGGTAAGGGTGGAGCTCGGACCCCTGGACTGGGGGCCCGGGGTCTCGGAGACGCACCACTCAGACCCAATGGTGCCCATGCCCTGGGGACGCCCCTTTGAGCGGTCTGCACAAAAGAGGAGCAGGTCTAAGGGGTTAGTGAGTCGCTAGATCGTCCGGGAACTCTCTACCCCCCACCCCCCCAACCCCCAGCTAAGGTGGGTACAGCCCTCGGGGAAGCGCGCCTGTGGTTCCTGGGCGCGGCTGGAGGCTGGGGTTCCAGGCAGCCCCTTTCCAGGCGATACGTCGGAGGCAGCCGGGGTTACAGGCCGGGTGCAGAGCGGTGCGCCGTGCAGCCCCCAGGGGGCGCCAGCGGATGCAGAACGGCCGGGAAATATGGGGGGCGGGTGGGGATGAGGGCACCAAGGGGTTGGAACAGAAGTCGGGGTGGGAAAGGAGGTCTCGTTCTGCAGCCTCCTTCTCACCCTGCCCCTCATTCTGGGGGCCTGTCTCCCCACCCCCACCCCGAAGATCCTGTGGGCTGGGCCAGTGTCGGTGCCTTTTGTGCCTCGGTTTCCCGTCAGGCCCCTGAGCCCATCCCGCCCCCGACTCCCGCCCGCGGTTCTGCGCAGACGGCGGGGCGTGAGCGCTGTCATTAACCCTGAGCTCCCCTCCCCGGGGCAGATCTTATTCTGCACCCTCAACAGCCACAAGGTGGACATGCAGAAGCTCCTGGGCGGCCAGATCGGCCTGGAGGACTTCATCTTCGCGCACGTGCGCGGCGAGACCAAGGAGGTGGAGGTCACGAAGACCGAGGATGCCCTGGGGCTGACCATCACGGACAACGGGGCCGGCTACGCCTTCATCAAGGTGAGAGGGGGAGGGCGGGGGGGAGGGGAGGGGACTTTCCGGGTGCTCCAGGCCCTGGGGCGAGCCACTGCCCCCCTCTGGCCTAAGGGGGTTCTGCGGGGGTGGCCCCTGGAGTGACTCTGGGTCCCTGCAGAGGATCAAGGAGGGCAGCATCATCAACAGGATCGAAGCCGTGTGTGTGGGCGACAGCATCGAGGCCATCAACGACCACTCCATCGTCGGCTGCCGCCACTACGAGGTCGCCAAGATGCTCCGTGAGCTGCCCAAGGCCCAGCCCTTCACCCTGCGCCTGGTGCAGCCCAAGAGAGCCTTCGGTGAGGGCCACCTGTGGCCTTGGGGGCAGGCGGTGGGGGGAGCTCTTGGGGAAGTGGGTTCTCTGACTGCGGGGGTCAGCGGAGGGTGAGGGGGTGGGGTAGGATGGAAGGTTCTAGATGCCTCTGGTGACATGACGGGGAACTCTGGCCTTGTATCGGGAACAGGTGGTGGTTTCCATACTGCTACAGTCTAGCTGGAGACGGGGGAGTTTGGAAGATGGAGGAAGGATGGGGCAGTGTTTAGATCTATTGTGTCACTTGGTGGGAGCTTTTAAAGTGCTGCTTTAAGGCTATGAACACAAGGGGGCCTTTGAAGGATAAGAAAGTTCCAGAAAGTCTCAGCTGGTGGCTTCCCAGTGTTTACAAAGAGTGGATCCACCCAGAACATGTGCCCCTCCACCACTCTGTCCCCTCCAGACATGATCAGCCAGAGGAGCCGGAGCAGCAAATGCCCCGTGGAAGCAAAAGTGACCAGCGGGCGGGAGACCCTGCGGCTTCGTTCTGGGGGGGCTGCCACAGTAGAGGAAGTGGTGAGTGAGGGGGTGGGGGGCCTTCAGGGACTCTAACACCTTCAGCTCTAACTCTGAGCCAGCGTGACCTAGGCTGAGACCTCCCTCACACAGCGCCAGTTTCCCCACCTGCAAAATGGGTCTCCAGGTGAGGCAGGCAATGGTGGTGCAGAAGCATTGGCACGCGAGGTCCTGGCCTGCTGGTACCCAAGGGGAGGAGCCTGGGAGGGGGCTGGGCTGGAGGGATCTGTGGTTCTGACCCTCTGTTTTGTCCCCCTGTGCCCCAGCCCAGTGAATTTGAGGAGGAGGCCTCTCGGAAGGTGGATGACCTACTGGAGAGTTACATGGGCATTCGGGACCCAGAGCTGGGTAAGGGGCCAGGGTAAGCCGGTGGACCCTGGGGGGAGGCCAGCCCACTGGGAGGAGGTAGGGTCCCAAGGGGAAGTTGGGGTCCCAGAGCACTCTTACCCACTTTCCTTCCCCCCCTGGCAGCGTCCACCATGGTGGAGACATCCAAGAAGACAGTGAGCGTTCAGGAGTTTGCACGCCGTTTAGACTCCGTCTTGGGCGAGTTCGCCTTCCCGGACGAGTTTGTGGTGGAGGTGTGGGCCGCCATCGGGGAGGCCAGGGAGGCCTGTGGCTAATTTGCCCTGGGGCTGAGCGCAGCCCCAGTCCGGAGCCCAGCCCTCCGCCCCAGCCCTGCAGGCTGGTTCCTGAAGCCCAGCCCTGCTCCAGAGCCCAGCCCAGATCTGAGACCCAGTCCCCCTCTAGAGCCCAGGTCATCTCTGAGACCAAGGTCACCTCTAGAGCCCACACCAGTTCTGAGACCAAGCCTAGTTCTGAGACCAAGCCCTGCTCTAGACTCCAAGCCAGCTCTGAGGCCAAGTTCATCTCTAGAACTTCATCTGGTTCTGAGACCCAACCCAGCTCTAGAACCCAGGCAAGCTCTGAGACCAGGTTCGACTCTAGAACCCATACCAGTTTGGAGACCAAGCCCAGCTCTGAGACCAAGCTCTGTTCTAGATCACAGGCTAGCTCTGAAGCTAAGTTCACCTCTAGAACACAATCCAGTTCTGAGACCCAACCTAGCTCCAGAACCCAGCCCAGTTCCAAAACTCAGCCCACCTCTAGAGCCCAGGACAGCTCTGAGGACAAGCCGAGCTTCGGCATTAAGTCAAGTTCTGGAACCCAGACGAGTTTTAAGACCCAGCCCAGCTCTGTGATCAATGCCAGTATCGGAAGCCAGCCCAGCTCTGTGACCAAGCCCTGCCATAAAACTCGACCTGACTCTGGAACACAAGATAGCTCCATGATGCTGCCAGACCTGGACACCCAGTTTAGTTCAGGAACACCAGTTAGTTCTGAAACCCAGGTGAGACTTAAGAATCAGCCCAACTACAGAAGCCTCTCCAGCATAGGGTTCAAAGACAGCTCCCAAACTCAAGCCTATTCACGAACCCAGACCAGCTCAGGGACCCCGATGCATGTGGCAGCTCAGCCCCGATCCCAGCCCTGCTCTAAAACTCAGTTTCATTCTGGGGTCCAGTCCAGCTCCAGTGATGAGTCCAGCTCAGAAACTGAGCCCAGCTCTAGATCCCAGCCTAGTGCTGCAACCAGGCCCATCTCTAGAGTTCAGACGAGCCCTGGAACCTCATCCATGTCTGAGGCAAGGCCTGTCTCCACAACCCAGCTTGATGCTGAACTCCACTCTCACTGCAGTACGAAGACCAGCTCTAGATCACCTGGGGCCCAGACCAGCTTCAAGGACTGGCCAATTTCCAGAGCTCAATCCAGATCAGGCACCCAACCCAGCTCTAGAACTCAACTCAGTTCTGGAGCACAGACTGTCTCTGAAATCTCATCGAGCTCCAAAACACAGCCAGCTGCTGATACCGAGTTGAGTTCCAGAATCCAGCTAACCTCTAGCCCTGGGACCCAGACCAATGCAGTAACAGACTTAAGCTCCACAACCCCGTCTAGCTCCAAGAGCAGGCCCCCCTCCAGGATCCAGGCCAGCATGGCTCAATCAACTTCTGGGACTCAGCCCATCTTGGAAACGTCTCAGGTCACAACCCAAGGCAGCTCTGATAGTGACCCAAACTTTGCAAAGCAGGTCAGCTCTGCAACGCAGCTCATCTCTAGAGTCCAGTTCAGCTCTGAGACTCAACTCAACTCTGAAACCCCCACCAGCTCACGGATACAGCCCAGTTCTGGAACCCACCTTAGTTCTAGAATCCAGCCTGTTTCTGGAACTAAACCCAGCTTCAGAACCCAGACAAGTTCTGGAGCCCAGCTTGGTTCGGAGACCCAGCCCAGTTCTGGGGCCCAGACCAGTGCAAGAATTCAGCCCAGCTCTGGAGCCCAGCTCAGCTCCAGAACCCAGCTTAGTGCCAGGATTCAGTTTAGCTCTGAGAACCAGCCCAGCTCTGGAACCCAGACCAGTTCAAGAATGCAGCCCAGCTCTGAAGCCCATCTTAGCTCCAAGTCCAGCTCTGGCACCTGGCTTAGCTCTGAGTCTAAGCTCAGCTCCAGAGCCCTCCCCAGCTCTGAAACCCAGGCCAGTGCAAGAATACAGCCCAGCTCTGGAACCCAACTCAGTTCCAGAACCCAGCCTGTTTCTGGAACCCAAACCAGTTCCAGAGCCCAGACCAGTTTTGGAACCCAGCTCAGATCTGAGACTCAGCCCAGCTCAGACACCCAGCCCAGCTCTAGAACCCTGACCAGTGCAAGAATTCAGCCCAGCTCTGGAGCCCAGCTTAGTTCCAGAACCCAGCCCAGCTCTAGGATTCAGTTCAGCTCTGAGACTCAGCCCAGCTCTGAAACTCAGGCCAGTTCAAGAATACATCCCAGCTCTGGAGCCCAGCTCAGTTCCAGAACCCAGTCTGTTCCTGGAACCCAAACCAGTTTTAAAACCCAGACCAATGTGGGAACCAAGCCCAGCTCAGACACCCAGCCCAGCTCTGGAACCCAGACCAGTGCAAGAATTCAGCCCAGCACTGGAGCCCAGCTCAGTTCCAGAACCCAGCCCGGCTCCAGGATTCAGTTCAGCTCTGAGACCCAGCCCAGTTCTGAAATCCAGCCCAGTTTAAGAACTGAGCCCCACTCTGGAATCCACCATAGTTCTAGAACCCAGCCTGTTTCTGAAACCCAATCCGGCTCCAGAACACAGACCAGCTTAAGAATCCAGCGCAGTTCTAGGAATGGGCTTCGCCCACAGACCCCTGGCTTTGACCCTAGAACCCAGTCTGATCCCACTCCTCCAGCCCGACCTCAGCCCCCAGACCCACCACCAAGAGCCCCAACTCCGGGACCCAGCAAAGTCTCTCAGCCTCAACCCCAGCCCCATGATCTGGTACGTGGAACCCAGGCCAATGCTGGCAGAAGCCTGCCGACACCCTACCTGGCCCCAAAGCCACAGGCCCCCTTGACTCGCCAGAAACCAGCCCTTTTACCTAAGCCCCAGGTGGGACCCCATAAGTACACTCCACCTACCACATCTGTCACCCCTAGTTCTGCCTCCGGGGTGGCCCTCCTTCTGTCCCAGCTCCCTGAACCCCCAGCTCAGGAGCCTGCCCACACCCCCATGCACAGGGGGCCAGGAACTGCTCTGCGAGGGTCAGAGCCCCTCCCCCAAGGAGCTGTAGCTTAGGGGTGACATAGTTTTGGCCCTTGGTGGGCTCCATCCCCTCTCCTTCCCCTCCCAGCTCTGGTCCCCCAGAAGCGGCAGGTGACTTCATTCCCCCACAGGTCAGGGGAGGGAGGATGGAAACAGGCTTCAGTTTCATTGGGCCTGGCTCTGGGAGGTGTAAGCAGATCCCAGGTCTGTGGAAGGGAAAGGGGGAAAGGGAGGGGCAGGGGGTGGTTGGCTCTTCATGTACCTCGAGGGCTCATGGGAATAAAGGCACATCCCACCCCTGCAGCCAGGTGTGTTGTATTTGAGGGCAGTTTGGGGAAAGCAGGGGCAGGGGCAGGCATGAGGGCCCGGGGGGCGATCACAACACTGGCTGCTTCTTAAGCACCTACTATGTGCCAGGTGCTTTCCGAGTACTCACTGTGCATGGGTTCGTGTATTCACACATACATGATGCTCCTCAAAACCTCAGTCATTCGTCCACTCGATCCATCTTTTTTGAGCACTTATTGTGGGCCAAGTGCTGTTTGTTCGAGACACTGGGCGCCTGAGTGTGAAGTGAATGACCGGCTAAACGATAAGCTTATAAGGGAATGGCTCCATCTGGGACGGAGGAAGCATCATGTATGTCACTCCGTGGCCTTGTGTGTGTCTCCCACGGGTCTAATACCAGAACCCTCTCTAGGGGCGACAGGAAGGATTCCAGAAGACTGCACTCAATGGGGAGGTGGGCGAGGAGCCAAAACCCAGTCTCAAGCCCTCTGCCCGCCCCCGCCTTCTGCTCGGTAGCCACCGGGCCGGATGACAATCTGAGGCACCAAACTTCAACAGACCCAAAGGGAAATAAAGGCACTGAGATACATTTTGGCAAGAGAGGGGGCATCCTGCCCATTTATATTGAATCTTTTCTAGGCGGAGCCTTCTCAGGTTGGGGTGTCAAAGGGGATCAACTGTACCCCACAGGACAGGTCATATTCAGCGGTCAGACCCCCAATTTCCTGGGGACTTCTGGACGGGGAGGCTTACAAGTTGAATTGTCTCCAGATACCCTCCGGACACTCCCACTCACCCAGCCTGAAGTTGGGAGGGGCCTGAGAGAAGAAAACGGGCTTGGGAAGGGGGGTCAGGGAATATTGGGGAGCCCCCAGGGCTGACGGAAGACAGCTCACAATCCTGCCACTCAAACTCTGCTCATCCTGCGTCCCAGCTCCTGGACCTCAGGGTGGGCAGCTGTGGCTGTCAGGGGGGCCGAGGCTGGATGGCCGCTGTCCTTCGGGAGCTGCCACTGATGTCTCCCCGGCCCTACGCCGTGGTGGGCCTCCGGGCGAGCTGGGGCTGCAGGGAGAGCGACCGGGACCGGGTGCTGAGGCCGGGGTGGAGGCGCCGGATCACGGCCCGGCGGAACAGGATGTACACCCAGGGGTCCAGGATCTGGTTCCAGGTGGCCACACGCAGGTAAATGAGCAGCTGCTTTTCCGTGGCTCGGGACAGCTGCCCGGTGGGGCTCATGGCTGGTGGGCTCCGCAGCACCGTCTGGGCGATGAAGACCTGTCAAAGGCCAGAGCAGTTATCCAGGAGTCAGGCCGGCCTCCAGCCCTGCCCTCCACCAGCACCTCTGGTCCCCTAAGACCCAGCACTGATTCTGTTACTACTGTGCTGCGTGACCTTGGGAGAGCTGCCTGACTTCTCTGAGCCTCAGCTGGTGTGGCCACAGGATAAACACCCTTCCCCTGCTCCTCTCCTGGGCATGATGAAATGTGGTGCAAAACAAGATTTGCAGGTGTAAACAGTTGGAGTTACTGTTACAACCAGCATTGTTATTCTATTAAATAGTTTATATTTTATAAACATTTCATAATATATTATAAAACCATAGTGTAAAATTGTATATAGCCTTAGCCGGTTTGGCTCAGTGGATAGAGGGTCAGTCTGTAGACTGAAGGGTCCCAGGTTCAATTCCAGTCAAGGGCACAGGCTCAGGTTGCAGGCTCGATCCCCAGTAGGGGCGTGCAGGAGGCAGCCAATCAATGATTCTCTCTCATTGGTGTTTCTATCGTTCTCCCTCTCCCTTCCTCTCTGGAAAGAAAAATTGTATATAAAATAACCTATTTCATATTTTATTTTAAAGGATTTAATATAATTTATGTTTTATAAAATGTTATGACAAATACTTTTATATTAAAATTTTATATCAAAATATTAGATTAAATTA